AAGAATGTTCATTATAAACATATAAAACACTCAAGTGTGTCAATGCAATTATAATAATCTCTTAAATTTAATTTACAATAAAAATGTAATCATTAAATCTCTTTAACCTTAGAAAATAATTAGTGATATAAGTTTTAGTATAACATGAATTTGTCTGTAAAACTTTCGTAGTTTTAAAAGCTTTATAGTTTGTTATGATTACGACTCTTCATAAATTGTGTAATGGCATGTTAGCATAAAATATTTCAACTCCAAAGATATTCTAGCAAAGGAGTTCTAGACGAAATACATTCTATCTTTATCCTGAAATTTGAAGGCAACAGTTTCATAGCCGCAAAGTAGCTTTGAGCGTGTTTTAGCCGCCGGCAACTTTAATCATTAATACGTGCTCGTGATTAATATTTATAATAATTTCATGCAAACTGCCGGTTCGACGCTAATTTATAGCAATTTACGATCTACGCACGCGTCGCTCACAATTACTTGACGTAGATAGACGACGCGTCTGAAGTTGCCATTTTTGGCGCTAATTTCTTCCGTGACGTCATAATGTTCCGCGAAATTGTATTTCTATATTGAACCAATATGAAGGTCCATGTCCTTTTAGTAAACTTCTATTTATGATATACCAATATAAATAAATGACTAAATTACATAATGAACGAGCAACAATATATATGTATGTTATATGAATGGATTTAGTAATACGGGAAAATAACTTTGTATGAATAGTCACAATTAATAAGATTGCAAAAAAAATAATGATACAGGCGGGACTCGTACCCACGACCACGGTAGTTCCCGCTATTATTTTGTCACTGAAGGTCATAGCGATTGAAATATTGCGAAGTATTCAATTTAAGTTCCTGCAATACTACACCTGCTCACTACGGTATCATAATCGTTAAAATAGTACAAAACTAATATATTTCGCGTTTCGAACCGTTAAAAATATTTTATTTAAAAATTTATTTAATGTCGCGTAAACTACAGACAATACTCAAATTTATAGCGACATACTTTTTTATAGCTTAATACAAAAGTTACCATGAACTTTATAAATTGAAAGTTAAGTAATTGATAACTGCGAAACAAGAAAAAATTAAAAACGTAAAACAGTATAATGTAATCAAGGAAAAATTACTGACTCCCTTAAAAGAGAAAAAGGTTGGCTACAAAAATATTTCGTAATTAAATCATACTTGAAGCATGGTTTCTGGGGGCAATTTTTCGTTTATACAGCTTTCAGTGTTTTCAAAAGATTATTTTTAGGCAAATAGAATCATGACTGGTCGGGAGGAAACACGGTTAAAATTCGTTTTCCACGTTTCTAAATAAAATTACCGTACCCTACATTAGGAAAATAAATTTAAAAAAATACTTTATGACTTAATTCCAAGCTTAAATCATTTAATATTTATATATTATGCGAACTTTTATTTTATTAATATAACCACTACCAGTACTCAAGCACGGAACTATAATAATATCGAGACAAGAAAGACGTAATTAACTCAAAGAAGGAATTATAAAATTACTTAATAAAAGTAACTAAATCTTTTCGATTTCATCATATCCAATAACTTAAATGAAATGTGTCGATACTCATAATTATTGAAGTTCTACAAATCGCGTTATCGAAATATCGCGTAAACTACGGACTAGTTTACACGAGTAGTATACATTTTAATAAAACACTAATGATAAAGTAACTTTAACTAATATATATCGCGTTTTAAACCGTTTAATACGTTGACGATAAACAGCGTGACCTGATCATCGACGTTTGAATAATACCTATAATAATATTCTATAACGAATTCCATGAAACAGCTAGTACAGCTATAAAGTTGCCCCAATATTCAGCAAGTATGGAATAATTCAAATGAGGATACCAAAGACTTCGGGCAATGAAATTTGCATAGGCTGTACGCACCTGCTCGCCGGCCTGATTAATTATTGAAGTACCAATTCTGACGGAGTGCTACAACTCTACAAGACACCTGTGTATATCTCTTTCAATTTATTCGGGCCCCTTGATAGGTGGGATCGCAACTTCTCGATCTTATGGTGGGGCCTTTTACATATATATAGTCTACCTAGCCTTTACTGTTGAAATATAATGGTCACAGGACCTACCCTCATTTGTAAACTTTTCAACTATAGAAGCTCTTAGAGGTTATAATGTCTAAACAACTAAAGCTCAAAAACTTTTTGCTAACCTGCTCCTTATTTTTATAAATTTTAGCTGTTAAGTGTTACGCACAACGTTGCTCGCATAACCTCGCTTGTGCAAGTTATTTTTAAAGAAGTGAGACATCTTTTTCTATCATTGAAAGGGGAATCACTTTTTTACACTATATGAATTAAAAATCGAAAATTAATTTTAAAAATTTACGACTCGAGCAGACAAAAGAAGCTTTAAAATCGAACCATAAGTTCCTAAGATTAGCGCGTTCAAACAAACTCTTCAGCATTAATAATATCACTATAGATTAAAATTATTGAAGTCTTTTTTATTAATTCTAATTCACAGAAACATTCGTGTCGCATAGCAAGCACCCACAAGACCGCAGTCTCGTGTGGTCACATACATACGTTTCTAGATGAAATGCGCACAATATATTCATTCGGAAAAGTGGTCAATATGATCACGTTCAATTGCCACACGCTTTAGTTAAATTATTGGCCTGAATATTGAATTTGGAAATGCACATTATTTCAATGTGTTTTTGTTTGACACTTGCTCCGCCACTTAAGCACAAAATTTGCTCGCAACTTAAAAATAATTATTTTACTTCCATATTAAACATATAAACTAACTATAATAGCCCAATTATATTAAATCACAAATATTGATATATTGTGATTTTATATAATTTTATTAACCTGAACAGTTACATCAAAGATTGTTAGCTACATAATATATATTTCAAAACATTAGATTTTTGTAATACTAATTTACGGTATGTCCAAATACTTACATCTAACGGTTTACATTAGTCAAAATCTACACTCACTTGTAAAATAATATAAAATAATTTGTCATAAGAAATACCAGACACAGAAATGCAATAATTTCGAATGTAACAGTTTAGTTCAAATTAATTATACCTTTAATGGTGTCAAACACGTTACATATTTAGCATTGTCTGTAGTTTACGTAAGTAGTACACATAAAAAACACTTTTAACAGTTAAAAGCACAAATATATCAGTTAATCTATTTCAACTACCGCCCGAAATTTCGCGTGCTTAACAGCTGCCATGGTCACGGGGCGACTACCTAACTTGCACTAGCGCCACCTATTTCATGGTAGTTGATGTTTGGTAAAATACAAGCTGTTTATAAAATAGTTATTATATTTCGCATTTTGTCAACGGTTGTCCATTTACATCCGTTCCTTTCATTTAAATCATTCAGCCACCGAGTCCTACTGTGTGTTTGCAGCAACCGTAGTCACAGGGAGACGGCTGCTGCAAAGCATCCGAAACGTCGGGCCGAAGTTAAAAATCATTTTCAAATAAGTTTAACTAATATAACGCGTTTTAAACCGTTAAAGTGTTTTATTTAAATGTGTACTACTCGCGTAAACTATAGACAGTATTTAATACTTATTTGAGTTAAATTCACAAGCAATAACACCTCAAGTAAATTATTGAACGACGACAAGTTGTGCTATAACCGAACAATGTCCGGTGTCCAAATATCACCGAAAGACCCTATTAGGCTCAAGCTAATTAATATTTAAACACTCGAAGAATGTCCCCAAATTTAAGCGAGTACCGCGTTCCGGGGTATTCCGGGCAATTTCATAACTTCCTAAAAGTTTGTCGGTCCCCGGATTGCCCGGGCAAACTTTACGCTTCACTGCACTCATACTTCTGTTTATTTAATGATCCGCCATCTGGCGTATATATACCGGATCAGTTCAATGATCAAAACACTACGCCGAATGTGTTTAATCCATTTTAACTGATTTCTGGGAATTGTGTGTTAATCCAATATTATGGATAGAGGATATTTATTTAACATCCAATATCCGCCTTGATTATTACTAAACTTTATCTTATCTATCTCACACACCTAACCAAGATGCGCTATCGATCTACGGCTTTGTAAATTCGAAAATCCACAAATTAAAATCAAAATGCGATTAAACGTGGCCACTTTTCGTGACAGTGGTTCGTGAACCGTACATACATCGAACCCCCGACTTGTTGATTGAGCCATACATTGCTACCATTACCCCATTTAAACACACACTTGACCAGGAAAGAACGATGACATTTTGAGTTGACTTTTTCGAAATCTTTTGATCGTACCCAGAGACTTTTATAACCAAATAAATATAGCTTTTGCGATGGTAATTATGGTTTTTTAAATTACTCCACTGCGGCAAAATGCATGAAATGTGCACTTAAATACGAATTTATGGAAACGTAATATTTTATTTTTACGACTAGAGCTGGTGTGTTCGTTAACACCATTTTATACTTTAAGAACCCGTTTATTTCTTTAAATAATCGAATACTCGATTAAAGCACCAACGCTAAGACGCATTTATTTAACATATAAACACATAAAAATATCTCTAATTATTCATAAATTGACAATAATTAGTCTACGACTGATTATAATTTATCTATAGTTATACATAAAGCTAATGAGTTTGTTTGTTTGTTTGATCGGCTAATCTCAGAAACAACCTGTGGGAATTACAAAAACGACGGGACGCAACAGACGTCGTGGCTGACAGCTTAAATCTATAAACTAATCTTGAAGCTTAAAGTAACGTCCGCGTAATACTACGCGGACGAAGTCGGTGACACAGCTAGTGACGATGTAAAAAGCGTCCGTAGTCCCTAAATTGCTTTACTTTTAAAAAATATTGTTAAAAATTATTATTATCCTTAATTATTACGAGGTTTTAGGAACAATGAACCATATCAATGCTTCTTATTTTCAATCTTATTTTATTAACAATACAAATCTTTCAGCATCTGAAACTACACTCGGCGCCGGCGCAGCTGGTGCAGCAGGAGCTACCGTAATCGGAGCTGGCGCTGCTCTAGCTCTTGCTGTTACAGCATGGCGAGCAGCAAGACGAAGAAGGGCGCCAAGGAAATCACCACCATCAGCGCAACTCGATAAACCCACCGACCATGATGACGCAGAACCTGATCTCATACCTAATAACTACTGTGAGTATTAATAAAATGTTAATAGTTCAAAACTAATGTTATGGATGATTGTGAATCCTCAGACGGAAACCAAAATCCCATGGGAATCGAACACCCTACCCCTTGGTTATTACTTACAAGCCATACACAATACACAATAGACATGAACTAGCGAACAAGTTAAATCAAGTATCGTCTGTAGTTTATGCGAGTAGTATACATTTAAATAAAACACTTTAAACGGCTGAAAATGCGAAATTGACTTATTACGGCTTTCACACCATTTCGAACTTTAAAGATGAGGATGTCCCTAATATCAAAACTGCTACGCTAGCGGGCCGTAGCTAAAATAAATTATAAATAACATAACAAACACACGTCGCGTATAAAGGCGTTAAAAGTGTTATAATTAAAAGCTAAGTCAAATGAATTCTTATTATGTGACCACAGAGTCGTGTTTTAGTAAACAAAGGTTATAACTTAGTCTATATTCACTACTTGCTCAGTTTGTGTTCAGTGTGCAGTGAATTCGTAAAATAGTTATTTTAGGTATCCAAATTTGTTTTTGCAAACCTCTACATCTTAAATTTAAGCTGCCCACGACATCGGTCGCGTCCCGTCACTCGCGACCTGTCGTTCGGGTCCAGTCGTTCTTGCAAGTAAATCTTAAAAGATAGACATATAGCATCACGGACTTTTTTTTAGATCATTTAAAGAGAAATCATTCTTTCAAACACATTTTTTAGGTATCTTGAACCGTTTTTGCAGCGTACGCAACTGAAACCCCAGAGATGAAACATTTCCCCCGTTTTGTTCACATTTACCGTTGTATCTTCGCTTCTATTAGTTACAACGCGATGTTTTATAACCTATAGCCTTCCTCTATAAACTAACAGAATTTTTTCAATTCAAAGCCGTAGTGTCTCAGGTTAGTGCGTTCAAACAAAAAAACAAACTCTTCAGCTTTATATATTAGTTTAGATATAGTAGCAAACAATCTTTGATGTAATTGTTCAGGTTAATAGAATTATATAAAATCACAATATATCAATATTTGTGATTGTGATATAGATATAGATTGTAGATGAAAATGGTGACGCTTCATACACAATGTAAATGAATATTTGTTTCTTTCATTTAAATGTATACAGTGGGTTTGGTTATAAGAAAAATCCGCATTTTGTTTACTGCGACATCCAATTTCATTACTTTCCTTGTGAATTGAATAAAAATAAATACTCTTTCGAGAGACGTAAGCGAGAAACAGCGCAATGGGTATCATGATATTAACCCTAGATTCCAGACGCGTCAACATAATTTAGTGCTGTATAAAGGAATTTAAGTAGACTTTGTTTGTATTAAATATCGAGATCATATTCGACACCTCGTTTTATATTACAGAGCATAGAAGCAAGATCAGAAACCAACACTATACAAATAAACAAAAGTTATTTAGTTAGTCTATTAAGACTCTCAAAATGTAGCATCCACGACGTTACGTGATACTGCTTTAACCATTTAAATAAAACACTTTAACGGTTTAAAACGCGATATATTAGTTAAATTTATTTGAAAATTATTTTTAACTTCGGCCCAACGTTTCGGATGCTTTGCAGCAGCCATGGTCACGGGGAGACCAAAGATGAAGGATGTCTCTGACATCAAAGTAAAAATTGCTACGCTAGCGCCATCTGTTCCGTCGAAGTTGGTATTTGGCGAAACTGGCCGGGTCCTTACAGAATTGACTAACGGTGTTTCCGCGTTTGCCGGTATGCTGTTTATTGGGACTTGAGCTACTATATGATTATTCGACGATGACGTATAGGACACGGTAGCTCAATTGGTTAGAGCAACACCGCTGCGCATGCCGGTTCAAGTCCTGGCCATATCTAAGTTTTTTTTCAATCTAAAATCACTTTTCAATTTATACTATTTGTTGATTAAGTATATGTTTAACTAATGATGACTACTGCTAGGCGTAAATGAGTATATGCATAATATGTTATATTATGAATTTGCTTTCAAATTGCAGTAGATTACAACTTCAAAGATTATCGATTATTCTTTTCGTGTAGTATAGGTACAATACCGACTTCCCCGGCAAGCGCTTATTACCATATACATTATTTCTAGGAAATTTGTAGTGTTTATCCGGTATATGAGTAAAACAGACCACCCCATAGATATATAGAATTTCATAAAAATCGGTCGAGCCGTTTCGGAGAAGTATGGTAACTAATATAAAACATGAGAATTCTATATATTAGATTTAATTATTTGTAGCAGTGTATATAAATTCTTTTTACACATCTGAAATGTGTGTAGCTTCTATGAAGTTTAAATTAGACCAGCTAATATTAAACTTCAAATGGGTTGCTTAAAAAATATTCTAGATATTTTTACTCCAGTCCAGTCCATTCACTATTTGGATTTCACATAAATATTGCATTTAAATGTAAAAAATAGACTTCGTTAAAGTGGAAAATTGGTTCTTAATTGTAAATCAGACAAAAACTCACGAGCTAGGATTTATTTTATTAACGTTCTACTTACTAAACTTATTTTGTTAGCTACTATTACTAAAACTGGTTAGTGGTAACTCTTTGTTCACTAATAATTTTAATATAAGCTTTATTTTATACTAACTAATAACAACTACTAATAACACTTATAATCCAAAACAAGGTACCACCCTTATTTGTATAACTACCGCCACTAAATGAATAATATAACCGTCATTACAAAGCACCGACGACACTTCCTAACTACAAATTCTTATTAGAACATTTCACTTAGTATCAAAAAATTAGACTCATTATATCCTATTTATACAGTAAATGCTTACATATAAATTAAATAAACATCTATTCCAGCCAAATAATTCGACCAGAAAAATGTACAAGTAAACAAAAGTTGTTAAATATTCTATTAAGGAAAGGCAGACCTTTTTGCTAAAACATTTGTGTGTTGTTCTGAATTCTGTCCCTTACACAACTTCCTTTAATTTCTAATGTTCGCGTGTTATTGAATTAGATGTGTATAGGATTCGTTGAACATTATGTTAACAAGTGTTGTTTTTGTTTTGTGTAAAAAATACTATACATAATTATGATAATCCTTACTTCCTTACTAATATTATAAATGCGAAAGTAACTCTGTCTGTCTGTCTGTTACTCTTTTACGCCAAAACTACTGAACGATTTGAATGAAATTTGGTACACAGATGGTTTACATCCTTAGGAAGAACATTTTTATTGCGAAAAGTGGGTTGTAAGGGGTTAAAAGGGGGGGGGTGAAAGTTTGTATGGAAATTCGTGGTTTTTGAAGCTAGAATAATGAAACTTTCTTCTTTGGCTTTTTGGGTATAGGAGTTGGAAAATGAGTGGGAGTGGGGGTGGGGTGGTAGTGGGAGTGGGAGTTAGAGTACGAGTGATGTGAGGTGAGATTGTTGCGGCAAAGTAGCACTTACAACAATGATTGGCAGCGACAAAACGCGCAATTACATAAATTAATAAACAGCCTAAATAATTAAAAATTCTACCCCGAGTCACTAATCTACGCGAACGAAGTCGCGGGCACAGCTAGAATAGAAAAAAACGAAGTTGCTGTCTGTCCGCTCCTATGTACTCGTATAGCTTAGAACCTCTATCTATATTTCGAGTTTTAAATCGCCAAATCTTACATTTATCTATATAGACTGAAAAAATTGATGATACGGGCTGGCCCCGTGCTGTTGCTCTAACCAATTGAGCTACCGCGTCTGTGTGCTATATATACGTCATGTTTTTTTTAACTGATACCAATGAGCTAAAAACCTTTCACACAAAAGATACATGCCGTACATACAATACATAATTTACTTGTAGTACCTACTTCCATTTTGAAGTTAAAAACAGGCAGTGTTATTGCTAGATTACGAAAATGTTCAATTTGTATGAAAATAAATACATTTCAGTCACTCAATCCTAACCGCTTTCAAATATTCATGTATTATGTTCGTTGAAAAAACTGGCAACTTTTTCCTGGGATTATTTGTAGGATTGAAAACAAACGCCTCCGACATTTTGTGGATAAATATTTTTTGCTTTACTTAAATTTAATTATTTCTCACTTTGCATCCTTAAAAGCTTTTGTCTTTCATAACAGAAAGTAAATTCTAAATAACTATATCGTATTAAAGTTATTTTATCAAATATATATAAAATTATACTATAAGGTCCCGGTTCCCCTATTTTTCCCCTGTTTTACTGACCCATTTCTAAGGGATAAAATTATTAGATTATTATAACTGTTTATTATGTTTTGTCTAGATACCGATTAACAATATCTTGCATTCAAGACAATGTATTTAACCACTGAGCCAAAGTTTGTATTTAAAAACCCCCTCTGTTGGGTATCTTGAACCGTTTTGGCAGCGTACGCAATGAAAACCCACAAGCTTTTCTGCTCTTTCTTCGCTTCTATTAGTCACAGCGCTATGTTTTATAGCCTTCCTTAATAAATGCTCTAACTAACACAAAATGAATTTTTGAATTCGAACCAGCACTTCCTGAGATTAACGCGTTCAAACAAACAAACTCTTCAGTTTTATATATTAGTATAGATATGGGTAGAGATATGTCCGCCCAATATAAAAAATAACTTACCTCGGTCAAAAACTCATACATTCTCAATGTAATCCACACTGTACGATAAATTATACTTTTTGAACTAAAACGAAATTAAGATAATAAGTAAAAACGTTCACCGTATTCAAGTTTAAATCCACCGAGGCTCAAAACATAGACTACTTTTAAACAGTTGCGAACTAATTAGAAAACAAACCAAAATAGTATTACATTGTGAGCTTTAACATTTAACTCACAATGTACTGTAATTGATTAACAATTTTGTGATAATTGTTTTAATTAAGTAAATAGTTACGTGCGCATTATTTCATTAATTCATTATTACGTTAAATGCCTTCCAATAAATAGTTTAACTTTAATACCTTTGTTATGGATATGTGTATGTTGCAGTTT